TGGGTACCTCGGAGATCCCCTTGAGGCCTCGTATGGGGTCTCTTGGGAGCCAATTGGAGGCCGCTTTGGGTTGCCTGGGCGCCTTTGGGGGCCCTCCTGGGCCGCTCTTGGGAGCTTCAGGGGCGCTCTTGGGGCCATCTTTGAGGACATCGATCACAACAGAGGGGAGCTTCAATTAGCGAGGGCGCTCTTGGGGCGCTTGCGGGCGCTTTGGGGGCCGTCTTGGGGCTCTATTGGGCCTCCCCCGGGGCTCTCTTGGGCCATCTTGGAGCCATATGGAGGCCTCGGATTGCCGTCGGACGCGAGAAGGCGAGAACGCACACATCATTGATTTTTCTCAGGTGTTTGAAAGGTTTTGGCTTCTTGGGGGCCTCCTAGGTCTCGGAGGCCTCTTGGAGCCGTCGTGGAAAGTTCCTAGGGCCGCTTGGAGCATCTTGGGAGCCATCTTGAGGATCGTGCGCTATATTGAGCCATCTTGGAGCTCATCTTGGACTCTCAGGGGCCCTCTTGGAGCCGTCTTGGGCCATCTTGGACGCTCCAACGCCTCGCGGCCCTTCCCGTCCATGTCCAGGGGATGGGGTAGGTGGAGGGGTCAAGGCACCTCCTAGATAGCAAGTCGTCTATTTCACTCCCACCCGCCCTCCCAACACATAAGTAACACCCGAGCGTGAGCATGTTCAGCGGTCGTTTGTGGATGGGCAACTACTGGGAACCAACACACACCGACCCCATGTGCGCGACGCTGGGGCGAGGTGCGCCACGCGTGCCAGGCGCGCCACGCGCGCCAGGCACTCCTGGGGCCCGAGCGTGCCAGACACGACTGTTGCGCCAGATGCGCCACGTGTTCCGCGTGCGCCAGGTGTGCCGCATACTCCAGCCACGCCAGGTGCGCCACGTTCGGGGCACGTGCGGAGTGTGTCAGGTGCGCCTGTGCACGTGACAGCACACATCGGGAAACACGTCGGCCCCCACCATCCTTGTCGAAATCCAATGCCCATCATTGTGTCTGGTGGGCGTGCGCACAGCAGGCCATACGCCACCACCCAAGCCGTCCTTGTCAAAAACCACTCAAAGTGATCGCGGGGTGGCCGCGAATTATCCAGATTTCGCCGCGAGGTGCAGTTTGTATTGTTTTTTTGTTAGGGATGGTAGCCCTGCGCGCAGCAGGCAATATGCTGACACCCCCGCCGTCCCTGTCAAAAGCAATACAAAGTGCTCGCGGGCCTCACGAACATGACACAAGATGTTGCCCCAAAGTGTATCTTGTTTTGCTTTTTGACAGGGATGGTGAGGGGGTGCCGCATCAGGTTGGCCGCGCATTCTCCAAATGTGGAGGCAGAGTGCGAATTGTATTGTTTTGACAGGGATTGTGGGGGGGAGCATGGTTCCTGGTTGGCCGCCGGTCGCCTTGGGGAGGGGGTGTATATTAATAGTGATCATCCCCTCCCCGAATGGGAAGAAGGAGGTTGGAAGAGGAAACGCCGTAGACCACCTACGCCCAGAGAACTGGGCGGATTATGCTGACGATGGCCACGATCATGTTGATGATACTGATGATCATACAGATGATTACGATGCTGATGAGGATGATGTTGCTGATGCTGATGATGAGGATGATGCTGCTGGTGATGATACTGACTGCGATGATGATAATATACTGATGATCATGATCATGAGGATGAGGATGATGCTGCTTCTCATGATTCTAACGATTATGATGCTGATGGTAATGATGATGGTAATGATGATGCCGATGGTAGTGAGGATGACGATGAGGATGAGGATGCTGAAGCTGATGACGAGGATACCTTTCTGTCGATGATGGTGGTGATCATGATGATGACGATGATGATGGTGATGATGCTGACGATGTTGATGATGCTGATGATGCTGTCGCTAATGATGGTGATGGTAATGATGATGATTTCGATGACGATGATGGTGATGATGATGATGACGATGCTGGTGATGATGATGATGATGCTGCCGATGATGATGCTGGTGATGATGATTTCGCTGATGCTGATGATGCGGATGATGATGATGAAGATGACGATGATGAGGATGATGATGATACTGATACTGATGCTGCTGATGGTGAGGATGATGATACTCATGATAATGATGGTGGTAGTGATGGTGATGCTGCTGACATGGATGATGATGCTCATGATGGTGATGATGACGATGCTGATGATGATGATGATGATGATGATGATGATGATGCGGATGAGGATGACGAGGACAATGATGACGATGACGCTGATGATGGTGATGCCGATTGTGATTATGAAGATGATGATGATGATGATGAGGATGTTGTTGATGATGATGATGATTTTGATGATGATGATGATGATGATGATGATGATGATGCGTATCATGATGCGGAGGAGGATGCTGATGCTGCGGGTGATGATGGTGATGATGACGATGCTGCTGACGATGATGCTGATTTTGCTGATGATGTGTGATGATGATAATGCTGCTGACGAGGATGAGGATGATGATGAAGATGGTGATGCTGATAATGATGCTGCTGATGATGACGATGCTGATGATGCTGATGATGATGATGATGATGGTGCTCATGATGATGTTGCTGCTGCTGATAATGTGGAGGAGGAGGAGGAGGAGGAGGATTGTGGCGAGGATGATGCTGAATGTGGCGAGGGATGATGCTGATGCTGATGACGGGGATACCTCTTTGTCGATGCTGACGACGATGATGATTAGGAGGAGGATTAAAAACGATAATGATGATGCTGACGATGATGATGCTGATGACGATGTGGATGATGATGGTGTTGATGAGGATAATGATGATGATACTGATGATGCTGTTGCTCATGATGATGATTACAACGATGATGATGCTGATGATGATGCTGATGCCGGTGACGATGATGACAACGATGATGATGATGATGATGACGATGACGATGACGATGATGATGATAAGTCTGATGATGAAAATGCTACTTCTGCTGATGATGATGATGATGAGGATGCGGCTGAGGATGAGGATTAGGGTGCTGCTGCCGTTGCTGATTATGAGGACGATGATGCTGATGATGATGATGATGATGATGATGATGATGCTGATCATGATGCTGCTGCTGATGATGATTCGGAGGAGGAGGAGGGGGAGGAGGAGGAGGAGGATTGTGGCGAGGATGCAGATGCTGATGCTGATGACGGGGATACCTCTTTGTCGATGCTGTCGACGATGATGATGAGGAGGATCAAAATCGATAATTTGTATCGGTGCGGATTTCGGGCCTTTTTCGGTTCGAGTTGCACTGCTGGTAGTTTCTATCGTTTGTTTCGCTGCGTCCTTCGTTTTGCCTCCTTCTTCTTCTTCTTCTTTGCGTCTCTCCTTCTCCTCCTTCTCCCCCGGCCCGCGCTTCGTGCGACACGCCGGTTTCCACCCAGCAACGGAGCTGTCAGGTGTTGATTGCTTCGGCTGGTTGCCCATTCGCTTTCTTCTTTTCTCCTCTTTCGCCTTCGCTGCCTCTCCTGCCTCCTAGCTGCGGCCCGATGTTGGCCCTTTCTTCGTCTGAGTTTCGGGTTGACCCTGTAGGGTAATCCACAAGTGTCGCCGCAGCACTTTTTTAATCTGATGACAGCCCAGAGAGCGTTGTGAAGGAAAGCCCCGCCAGATTTCGCTTCCCGCGCTTCTGCCTGCGGAGAAAAAATAAAAATCGATAATGTTGATTCTGACGATGATGCTGCTGGTGATGCGGCTCATGATGGTGGTGATTATGATGACGATGATGATGATGCGGATGACGGTGACAATGATGATGATAATTCATGACGATGATGATGGTGATGATGATGCCAACGATGATGATGCTGATGCCGATGACGATGGTGACAACGATGATGATGATGACGATGATGATGAGGATGATAATTCTGATGGTGATAATGCTGCTTCTGTTGATGCTGGTGGTGATGAGGATGCGGCTGGGGATGAGGATTCGGGTGCTGCTGCTGTTGCTGATGATGAGGATGATGCTGATGATTAGGATGGTGATGATGCTTCTGATGATGATGACGGTGACGGTGACGATGATGATGACGATGTTGCCGCCGCTGGTGAAGAATGAAGAATAGTAATATTATGATGAGGATGGTGACGATGATGATGATGATGAGGAGGAGGAGGATGGGTGAGGTGATGATAATGTTGGTGGAAGTGGTTGTGCTGATGATGAGGGTGATGATGTTGATGGTCATGGTGATGGTGATGGTGACGGTGGTGACGATGAGAAGGAGGACAAGGCCTTTTTCGCTTCCGTCCTTCCCCCCCGCGTCGTCCCCCCTATCCTACTATTCACCGCACCCCTCCCCCCCTGCTCCACCTCTCCCACCCCTCGCATCCTGCTCATCCCCTTGCTACCCTCCTCTCCCCGCTTTCTCAATTAGAGCCGCCGTCAGCCCTTTGGATCCTTCGTTGCCGCCGTCGCCATCGTCACCGTCTCCGTTCGTTCGCTCCTTCGCTCGTTCGTTTGCCGCCGTGTCGTCGTCGTCGCCGTCATCGTCGTCGTCGTGGTCGTGGTCGTGGTCGCGTTCGTGGTCGCGGTCGTGGTCGTGGTTGTGGTCGTCGTGGTCGTCGTGGTCTTGGTCGTGGTCGTCGTCGTCGTGGTCGTGGTCGTCGTCTTCGTCGTCGTCGTCGTCGTTGTGGTCGTCGTTGTCGTCGTCGCCGTGGCCGCGGCCGTGCTCGTTGTGGTCGTCGTCGTCGCCGTCTTCGTCGTTGCTCGTCGCCACTGTCGTCGTTGCTGGTCGTCGTCGCCGCCGCCACCGCCGTCACCGCCGTCGTTATCGTCGTCGTCGTCGCTATCGTCGTCGTCGTCGTCGTGGCCGTGGCCGTGCTTGTTGTCGTCGTCGTCGTCGTCATCGTCGTCGTCGTGGTCGCCGTCGTCGTCGCCGTCGTCGTCGTCGTCGTTGCGGGTCGTCGTCCCTCGTCATCGCCGTCGGCCGACGGGGGGCAG